AGTTATTCATATAATATAGTAATAAGTCAAGACTTATTACTATTACATGTACTAGTCCTAATACTAGTACGTGTTTCTGTTAGATCCAAAAAGCAAAAAGTTATGGGTAATGTTAGCTTGCCGATAGGGCCAGAGCCGATTGGTAGAGAGTTCTCCCAGGTAGAGAGTAAAGCCTTTAATACTTTCGCTGCAAACCTTAAAGACGATAAATAATCGTCGATTGAGTTTAACGCTTCAGGAGAAGATATGGATAACTGACAAAAAGACTTTAAATAATAGAGAACTTTGTAGTGCTAAAATATCAGAAGAAAGAAATTTTTAGATACTTTCCATGAAAATAGAAAGTTTTCTGTTTTCAGTGATGACGTTTTTCTGTGTGTCACTTGGTATGACTCATACCATGTTTGCTAGTGAAGCTATGAATCGAAATGAGGCGATAACTTTCGGATATAAATGTATCGCTTATGTGAACAGAAAGAACTATAGTTCTCTTTAATGGCTGAAATAACTACCTAATCTTACAGAAGTCATTCAAAAAATGATTTCTGTCTTTATATTTGTGAGTCTTGAAAAGTCTAGAAGTATTTTGTTTTAATTTATTTATTTTTTTTTTGCTTCACTTATTCACTTTAGTTTACTTCGTTTATAGTTTATAACATTCTTTTGTCTTTTATTTCATTTCATTTCGTTTTGAGCAAAAGTTTACTTTCAAATAGATTTATGCCGCAAATACTGGATAAGCTAAATGCACTATTTCCAAACGAGCATTTACAACGCGTATCTTCGGATGTGAAGTTGCTCCTGCAAGCGACAGACAGGCCAATGCTGCTGTTATGTTTCAATGAGTTTATGATTTTATTATCCTGTTGCATGCAGCAAGGACATCGCTGACTGCTCCCATTGCTCGTATTTGAGAACAACACAAATGTTGGTGACTTTGTATGGACTTTAGAACAGAATAAATGAAAAAAAAATAAAAAATAAAAAATAAATAAAAATATAAAAATTGCAGCAAATAACATACTGTATTAGATAGCATAAAAACAACAAACAAACAAAACAACCAAAAACACAACAATGAACTGGAATATCACAAATGCCATAAACATTTTTCTTTAATATTTTCTTTTAGTTTTTATTTTTTATTTCTTGTTTCAGTTGCTTTTACTAATTTTAATTTATATATATACATATATATATATATATATCTTTCTTTATAAATTTTTTACTTTTTCCCAACTTATAACAACCAACTCAATGCCATCCAAGTCTGCGTGTTACTTACTTACTGTGCAACTTTATGCCATTTCGAGCTAAAAATTAAAAGCTTATTGCATTATTTCAGCATTTCTTACAACAGAAATTAAATAAACTTTGATTAGTTCCATAGATAAGTGCCAGAAGTAAGTGGAAAAATGTAAAGGAAAACTCAATGCACATTAGCTGCAAGAAGTTAAAGTAGCAAGTATTAAACTCCTTGCCGATGTTGCAGCAAAAATGTACAAATAATCTCCGTACGATTGCAATATGGAGTTACAATAACAATTGTATAAATCAAATAATTTACAACAAGCTCAATTTACCAAAACCCTCGAGACCCTCTTTGAGTTTTATCGATAAGTGCTACAGCGTCTTACTGCCAAACCGAAGTATTTGTATTTCGCATTAGAAAATAATATCCTTGCCATGGACAAAGCAAGTACTTTTTTCTGTCGCACTTTGGGTGCGATGTGGCGATAGTACAATAAAATTCAGTTACAAATTAAAGAGTGATGGAGCGAAAAGATACAATAGAAAAAATCGGAAAGAATAGTATGTTATTTAATGGTGTGGACTTAAGTAAGAACATAAGCTAATGGCATGGTAATAAAATTCAAAAACTTAGACTAATAAAAATATGTGCAAAAACGAAATATGAACTTTTTTTATATATTATTTTTTAATCTAAGTTAAATTGATTTCAGTTTATAAGCTCTATAATAATTTAAGAACATATAGTAAGGTTATTATAATGCATAATAAATACCTTTCACTTAAAGACGTATTCTTTTGACATAAATGCTTCATTAGAAGAACTTCTGGTTGCTTAAGAATAACTTGGCATCACTGCTAAGATCAGTAAACATTTTCTTCCAATTTTCTTTAATTTTCTTCCAAAAATCATTCACAATAAATCAGTTTTAAGATTTGGCACCTTTGTAATGCGACCGGCTTATTCTTTAAGCAGTTATATGAAAGTGGGTTTATTTTTGCGAATTTTGTTTTTGATTTCTATGTTATATTTTAAGCGACATGTGTTTTATTGGAACATGAATGCAAAAGAAAGCACCATAAATAACATTAGATTTGACCAATAAAAAAAATTCTTAAAATTGCACACAATAAATTTAAGATTTAAATAATGAAATGATAAACAGCGAATGAAAGGAAAAATCAATACTTAAAAAAGATAATGATATATCAAATATCAACAAAAAAAAGTATTCACTGTAATATCTCACCGATGACATATGCATGCACTGAGAAACAAAAGTTGATGCAAAATCATAATCCATTAATCCCTTTAATTAGTTGAGGCTTTAAAGTAGAATAAATTTCGCCAATAATATCAACCATAAGTTATATATAAAAATATCAAAAAAAATAAATATATTCACCCACCTTGTAATTTCCTCTTGAAAATATACTTTTCAAGAAGTGATTGGTTATCACCGAAGGCAAAGCAACTACTAACTACTAACTAGAATAATTAGTAGTTTAAATTAGTAATAAAATTTAGTTTAACTGCTACAGAAAAATATGTGTTATATTAAAGCCACCTTTCGGTTGTGATGAATGCTTTAAGAGAATGACATCGAGGAAAAAAAAGGAAGACAAAGATCTTATCAGTCGAAAAAAGAAGGAGAAAGAAGTGAGTATGAAGAGTGAGTACGAAATTATTTTTTACAAAGATGAAAATGTTAATTTAGAGATAAAAGGTTTCCAATAATATTTGCAGGGATCAATTTTCCAATATAATAAATAGCGGTCATATGACTGATAGCACAGCTAATCCGTTATTATTAATCGTTGACAATGAAATAATTGCTCCGCCTGATGACGGAGGCAAACTACTACTTATTCAGAGCGAAAGGTCCAATCCACAATAAGGGCGATCACGTAAGTTGCAGTTTTAGCTGCAAGAATAGTTTTTTAAACTTCACTTATGGATAAAATATTGAAACTAATCATCAATGAACTGATTGAATTTTCGCTTCAAGCCATGTAAATCTATCATTACCTTTATATTTAAAAGTGTGTTAAATTCAGAAGAAAACTTAAGAAAAACAATTTGACACATACCTGTCATCTACTTAATGGTTTCAGACATCCAAGCAAAGCTTATAAGGATATGTTAAACAAAGCTGGATGCTTTTAACTAAAATAATCAATTTACCCAACTGCAATTTATCTCGAACCAACTAGTAGACACTCACGCTTTCATTCAATACTAAATATCTAGAAGTTACATATCTTTAATCGCTAATTGGTTAATTGGAATATAAACACAGAATAATAGAAAAAAATTAATAATTTACTTAACGTGGCGAAAAATAATATAAAAATTGTAACATATGTAAAGAGCAACAATTTAAGCTATACTTAGTAGAAGTATATAGAATATCTGTGGATCAACTCTCATTCTACAGATTAGTACAAGCTTCTTAAGTAATCAGTTAGTGCCCTAATTCTCTAACACGTAACATATAGAATATTCCACACATACATGTGTAAATAGAATAATTAATAAGTACTATATATATTACTACTTTATATATATATTAGTACTACATATATAAGTACCTTATATAAAAATATATACTATATTAAAAAATTATTATTTCTTAATTCATTTAAACTGATCCGTAAGAATAAAAACATATTATTTACTGAATTTTTCAAATTTTAAATGTAATTATTTATTTTTAAAACCAATTGCCTTTAATGAAACCGGGAAAATATTTTGAAAATAGTGCAAATTTTAGAATTTGTTATTATACAACTGTTATTAATTTAAAATAGAGTAAAAAATAATAATTCACATACCTGACATCCACTAAAGCTAATAAAACTACTGAATGTCATTATTTATAGTTATAATAATCAACTTTTAAAATTTCCCAGATACAAATGTTGATTTGGAGCATGTAATTTTAAATTTTTGATTTATAAATAAAAAAACATATGATTTTCTTAATTTAGGGCAGTGTGAACACTTTCCAAATTAATTTAATTTCCATTTCTACGAAATTAAGCAAATTTGGCTGTCTGAACATAGTGTAAGCGGTTATTTGTTTGCGCTATGCTTACAAAACAATAGGTCCCATATAATAAATACAAGCTCAAAGCAAAACCTTATAAGCTCTAAAAAAACAAGAACTAAGTTTTTAAGAAAAAAGAATTACTGGACTCGATTGAGTACTACAGCTGTTGTGTAGGCTGCACGTACTTAATTTGGTGAATACTGACTTGGATATTGTATGATCAGAAAAATGTCAGAACAAAACAATTTTTAAAAAAAACAATAATGGAATTTACTTTGAAACTTAAAACAATCGAATGAAGATAAAGGACCAATGACTAATGTTTATAACAATCTGATTGACTTACTACCATAAATTTCCATGATTGCTAACTGTTGATATATTTTAGACAATAGTGGTAACATTAAAAAGAATTTCAAGACTTCGTTTAGAGATTTTGATTAGGCTGCTAAGTAGCTCCGTGCACAACCGAGAATTTTAAGTTCGATTTAATAAACATTGCTCATCCTTAAGTAATATTAAAGCAACTACAAACATCCTCCACTTATATCAAACTAAATGAAAAGCAATTGTAACTTTAAAATTTTACAAAACAAAGAATGCCTATTAAGCTCTGATTAATAATAACCAATAAAAAATTATTAAAGAATTTCAATTATAATATTCCTCATAAATCAAAAAAAGAACTAAGTAAATACAACTTTGTCAAACGTCAAATTAATATTTTCATTGAAATCTCTTGTCAAATCGCACACGCATTGAAAATATTGAAAAAATATTTCCTGTATTATTTCACCAAAAAGTTTTTCGTTTGCCTTAATTAGACACATTACTTATTTTCATCCGCCGAATACTGTATATATAGTGATACTATCTAAAATACTTTCTAAAATGTCTGACAACAAGGAAATTATCCCTGATGCCAAAGTCTCTTCCAACGATGAGCAAAATGCCAAAGAAATCGTAGAGGTTGGTACTGTCATTGAAGATAAGGTTCAATCTATCACAAGTGAGGAATCTGAAGACGAGGCAAGTGTTGAAAAAATCGATTATGCAGATTTTGCATCAGACACTGAGGAAAGTACTATTGATTCTAATGAAAGCATTATCGCCAATTATGGATCAGCTGATGAAAATGCGGACGGTGGGGATTTTTTCAGCGCTGACGGACATTTGTCCTCACCTAAAGGTATTGAAAAGGCTTCGGCTAATGATGGTGCTAGCTGCGACGATACGCTTTTATTGGAGGATCAAACCAAGTTGGGTATTGTAAGTAATAATATTTTTTCAAACCATCAATGTTTAATGCAACAAAGTATTTAAGGATTATGAAAATGCCGACGGAACTGCCAATAGTATTACCATAGTATTTGACAAAATTTGTGTTGAACCGGTAGTTGCAGATTCTGTCGAAAATCCAATTGGGTCCACAAGTTTTAAGGCTGAGCAAAATGAGGCAGAACCAAATAGCATTGGAAAAAACGTTACTAAATGTGATTAAACGCTAAAATGTGAGCTGATGTGAATTTAGCTTAATAAATAAAATAAATCAACAATGAGAACAAAATAATGCTTGTGTATATTTTATCCTTATTAAATTGATGTCATTCTAGACACCGAAACCAATAAAAAATTAATTGGATAGTGGTCAATCTAAAGTATTTTCGATATTCACAATACACATACAGTAATATTATAACCTCGATTTTTAATTTTTGATTTTATATCTATTCTGTGAAACAATGATAGCAAATAAAGAATATAGTACTTTTATATAATTGCTCTTAATGAACCATCCATTGAGTACTAAGCGCTGCTAGACCTTTTTTTTATTTAAAACGCAATTTTTATATATAAATTTAGAATTAAGCTAACGATTTGAAATTTTTTCTTAAAATTTTTCTACTAAAATTTTATTGGCCACCGATCTGTGCAAAAATTTGACAAAAAACTCTAGCCATGGATAATTATACAGATCTTGTGATATGTACATCACTTTTGTGCCTCATGAGTCTGGCCTGGCCCAGACCCAATTTATATAAAAGATAACGAATAACCGCAAATTCATAATTTTGATTATTTGTGAATATTTGACTAGTGACTCTTGATAATATAAGAAGTTCCATTCTTATTTTTTTGATAATTTTTCTTGAATAGAAAAGTGAAATAATTTAGTCAATGAAATAGAATTAGAGGGATTTAGCGAAAGAGTTGAAGAAATCAATCTACTTCAGATTGAAGTATCAAATGAAGACGATGCATCGAATAGAAAAGTGAACTGGTTATCGAACCAAATAAAATGTTCAATGAAGACACATTAAGAATCGCCTGAAATAGGACGGCAAAGTGCTGATAAAGCTGATTTTTAGGGTAACGATGACACAGAACGGTATACAAATTAACTAAATGCTGATGGTTCTCACAATAATATGTAAAAAACTACGATTGTCTAATAAACGATTTCGAACAGTGGCCCAATTTATTCGTTTTATTAATAAACAAACATGTCTCTACCATTTCCAAAGTAATAAGATTGCACCAATTCAGGTCATATAGAGACACCTCAGTGAGAATCTTGTCTTGAATATAGTCTGCATGCGAATATTATAATTGATGAATAATTTTTAACGATCGAAATTAGCTAATATTAAAATCGAGATTTAGTGGGCCTAACTTTTTCACAACATTGAAGGGTGCTAAACGGTTGGTTAAAATTGACCTAGTATTTGTTGGAATAATTTGGTAAAAATGTGTCCGAGATAAAATTATTATGTTTAATATTCTCTTTTAATAAAAAAAGACAATATATAGATAGTAAGTATGCTAATACTGCTTGTTTCTATTCCATAAATTACTTTTCAATATTTTTATCAGTAAAATTAGATCAACATATAAAAGTCCATTAGAACTTAAAATAAAAAATAAAACTACGGCAACTATGCAAAATATATATAAGTAGTACAGATTTTGTTAGCTCGATTAGCTCGATGATACTTTAAGCAATTTCAATATGTAAATCTGCGTAAATCAAGTCTTAAGGGAAGGAAATGTTTGACGTCGTCATCAAGTTTTTAAACAAACTATAAAATAGGTGTTATATATGAGTTTGATTAAAAATAAAAATTAGTAATTAGCAAAAAGAATTTTAGAAGCCATCGTAAATTCAACATGTCATTATGGGCTAATATCAACAAAAAAAATTTATATAAATAAATATTGGTGTGTTGGGTTAATAAACATTTTTATTTTATTATAATGCAATATATAAAAAAAATTAGTTTTTAGATTTCCAAATTATAAAATGTAGTAGCACGCGATATTCACTTCCTATTAAATCACAAGTATAACTATATTTTTCCCATTGTGCTGCACTAAATGTTCTACGCCTCTAACATATTGTCTAGATTGTCTGACACAGTCGTCCGATTGTAGTTGATTTAGTTGATTTGTAGTTGAGTCATGTATCTGAACATGGTTTCTACATGTTATAAAATCATTAAATTTTTGATAGTCTCTTGCTTACCACAAAACCGCATCCAAATTCACGCCTATTTGTAAGGCAACTATAATATACATCACAATTTGCTCTTTTAGAGCAGCCTTGTCCTATCCATCGTATTCCCTAGATGGCGGTGGCGTCAGCCTTACATTTATTGAGGGCTTTCGTCAGTAGTATAGAAACTGCAACACCGATGACAAAATAGAAAACAAGTAAATAAAAATATTTATAGACGTAGCCAACTTGTATAATAAGAGAAAATTAAGCACTTTCTCTTTTTTAAATATTGATTTTTAATTATTAATTTGAAACGTTTATTTTTGTTTATATAGTCTGAATAAATCTATGAATAATAAGATTTTAATGGCTTTCACATATATGTATCAAATATGCTACATAACTGTTTTAAAATATCTTTGTTTCTGTAATTTGAAAGATATTTTTAATTTTAATATATTATAAATATTTACAAAACATCTATGCATTATGCAGGTCAACAGCAAGGCCTGATGCTTCTAAAGTGGTTACGAAGGAAGCACTTACAGCCGATACAATCCACCGCGATGCTAACGGAAGGATTAAATGCAATACTTGCGGGAGTACATTTGCTTAAGATAATTGCTACATGAGACACGTAATCAGCGAGTCGGGATTAAGACCTTTTGACAACAATGTGAACTTTGTTAAATAATTAAATCACACTTAATTTATTTTAATTATTGTCATCATAAAAAATTACTTGAATTTTTTATGATATATTTTATTGAGACAGAATTCAGTATATTTATTAAATTAACAAAAATGCTTTTACAATATTTGTGGCTCTTATATATTGCTTCACTTTAACGTGTTTAATCACATTTAGTAACATTTTCTCCAATGCAATTTGGTTCTGCCTCATTTTGCTCAGCCTTAAAACTTGTGGACCCAATTGGATTTTCGACAGAATCTGCAACTACCGGTTCAACACAAATTTTGTCAAATACTATGGTAATACTATTGGCAGTTCCGTCGGCATTTTCATAATCCTTAAATACTTTGTTGCATTAAACATTGATGGTTTGGAAAAATATTATTACTTACAATACCCAACTTGGTTTGATCCTCCAATAAAAGCGTATCGTCGCAGCTAGCACCATCATTAGCCGAAGCCTTTTCAATACCTTTAGGTGAGGACAAATGTCCGTCAGCGCTGAAAAAATCCCCACCGTCCGCATTTTCATCAGCTGATCCATAATTGGCGATAATGCTTTCATTAGAATCAATAGTACTTTCCTCAGTGTCTGATGCAAAATCTGCATAATCGATTTTTTCAACACTTGCCTCGTCTTCAGATTCCTCACTTGTGATAGATTGAACCTTATCTTCAATGACAGTACCAACCTCTACGATTTCTTTGGCATTTTGCTCATCGTTGGAAGAGACTTTGGCATCAGGGATAATTTCCTTGTTGTCAGACATTTTAGAAAGTATTTTAGATAGTATCACTATATATACAGTATTCGGCGGATGAAAATAAGTAATGTGTCTAATTAAGGCAAACGAAAAACTTTTTGGTGAAATAATACAGGAAATATTTTTTCAATATTTTCAATGCGTGTGCGATTTGACAAGAGATTTCAATGAAAATATTAATTTGACGTTTGACAAAGTTGTATTTACTCAGTTCTTTTTTTGATTTATGAGGAATATTATAATTGAAATTCATTAATAATTTCTTTATTGCTTTTTTTAATCAGAGCTTAATAGATATTTTTGTTTTGTAAAATTTTAAAGTTACAATTGCTTTTCATTTAGTTTGATATAAGTGGAGGATGTTTGTAGTTGCTTTAATATTACTTAAGGATGAGGGATGTCTATTAAATCGAACTGAAAATTCTCGGTTGTGCACGGAGCTACTTAGTAGCTTTATGAAAATCTTTGAACAAAATCTTGAAATTCATTTTAATGTTACCACTACTGTCTAAAATATATCAATACTTAAGCATGATATAGACGATGCTCTATGTATGCAAATCAATACTACGTTTACACTGCTTACTTAGTAAGTTACTTTGTAACATTGAGTTTTTTCTCGTTTACATCAGCACAAGTTACTTAAGGAATGGGAAAGAGCTTTTATGTGTCAAAAAATTCTAATTGTAGAGTTTTCTTGTGTTTATATTTTAAATTGTGAACAGCTGGCATTAAATTTTGTATTAGAATATATTGTTATATTTTACATGACTGTAGCAGTTCTTGCCTATAGAAAAAACGTACAAGGATTTATAAAAAAATTTCTTTAATTCAAATGTTATTTTAATTAATAATACTGAAAACTTATAAATTAAAAATAAAATGCACTATAACTATATTAATAAAAAATAAATATAATAAAATCAATTAAAAATAATGTACACTATAACACTATTACTCCTCGATGGAGGAGAGTACATAACGCTTCCTTGTCAATGGACCCATTATGTCCATGTGAATGCGTTGAAATCGGTCATCTACCGCTACAAAAGAAACAAGTTGCAATAACTGTTTTTCAGTTATGTCAGTGGCCACCATTGAGATCTGATGGTATGTCTTCTGCAATTTTGGCCAAAGTGTGTGGCCAGTATACAACTATTGGCCTTGGTAGAGAAAATAGTGTTGTTGCTTTGCGTAGATTTCGGTCAGTAGAGGCCTGCAACTTCCTGTTTTTGGAATACTTGCAAGTCACCAAAAACACTTTTTATTAGCTTAATTTTTTCGGTTGATAATATGAGCATTGGAAATGTTGAAAATAGAAGATATTTTAAGAGACGCGATGTTTTTGGAATAAATGCTCTTTATAAATACAATTATCTAAATATCATAGTTGATAAAAGGCTATTAATATTGAAGTCAAGAAGTGTGTATTATTTTACTAAATCCAGGGATTCGAACGAATACGCATACGAGGCGATGAGTAAAATGACTTTTTAATACTTTTTATTATCTAGACAATTATTTTAAATTTGATTACATATCAAATAAGTATGAGATACGCATTCTTCTATAGTATTACTATAGACTTATTATAGCAGAGACTCTTATATTTCTTTATATGAGACGAATATATATATGTATGTGTTTAATATTTAATAAAACTCTTTAGGCGTTTTCTTCAGCATAATTCGCATAGAAAAACTTCCAGTACCAA